AAAGTATTTGAGCTGGCAGCTGAAGAAGTTCTGGTAAAAATAGAGATGTTGCTACTGAATACGATATTTGTCACGTAACGCTATTTAAACTTGTTACTGATCGTCCCGATCCAAATACTGCTTCGATGGGCAACCAGGGATCACTTCAGCCTGGAGATATTTCTGTCAACCCAGAAGAAGTATCACTACATTTAGACTCTTCAATCCAAAATGAAATTTTACATAGCATGCCTGATATTGACATAAGTATTTCAGAGGTTATTGATAAACTATCACACGTACCATCAAATAAACAGCGACCGTCTCATGAACCAGGACCATCAAATACAAAGCCAACAGAATGTTTTAACGTAGAAACAATAAGACCGCTTCCAAAAACACCTCCACGTGTCGAATCCAAACGAAAGCGTTCAAGGAAATCAACGATTCTCACTGATACTCCCGAAAAATTGGCCTTAGAGGAGGAAGCAAAATTAAAATCATCAAAAAAAGATAAAAACTAGTCTGACTGAAACTAAAAATAAGGGTAAAGGCAAAGGGAAAAGTAAAGGAACCCGGAGAGAAGAAGTAGAAAAGGTTAAGAAGCATATTCTGCAGGACGTTAGTGAAGAAGATACCTGCTTTTGTTTGGTTTGTGCCGAGTCTTATAATGAAGACACATCTGGACTTGACTGGATACAATGTATTTTATGCAAAGGATGGGCTCATATCACCTGTATTAGAGGTGATACCAGAAAATACATATGCCTCAACTGTTTCTCAGATGAAGAGAAATCGTATTCTGATTAATTATTGCCTGATTTGAAGTACTTATTTCCTGTCTAAGTTTAAGTACAAATTAGATTAAGACTGATTTAACTAGTTACCTTATTAATATACCTAAAGACTAAAAACTTGTCTCATACTAAAAAAGTATTAACACTGTGACATTTGTTGATGAATATCAAGTAGATTTAAAATACTGTATTGCTTAAGGTAACTCATAGAGGTTTTTTAAGACTGATACTAAAATGTTTATGTGACTTTTATTTAATTATTATGTTTAAACTATTTAAAAAAATGTTCGTAACAGATTTATAAGATAATACTATTTTTTCTACTCCATTAAGAAACTTAAAGACTGTTGAACCTAAAAAGTTTAAGTTTAAGTAAGTAACTTTAAAAGATTAAGTTTAAACTATGTGTTTAATTTTTTTTAGGCTTAAAACTATTCAAACTGTAGCAATGATTATTATTAAGTGTAGATTTAAAAGAATTTGTTATATTCTTTCAGTTCCTATCATAAAAAGTACTAATTAGTTTAACATTGAAGGCAATAAAACTTTTTCATTAATTTCAGTGACATTTTATTTGAGTATTTGATATAATTCAAGTATCTGTTATTAATTGCCCCTTACGTTAATACTTACCCCAGCTTCGTTAATATTCGCCCCACATGCGGGGTATATATTAACAAATGACTTTTTTGGTTTTCATGGCTCTCTTTCTGGAAGCACTTACATACCTGATGATTTTTGTTATTAATATCATAGCTGAATAACCAAAGCATGTTTTCAATAAAAAATGAAACGAAAAAGTCTATTATCAACGAAAATATAAATCATAATACAGAATTTGTTAGTACCAGCCCCGCCCTCCCCTACACTATATTTTCTGGTATGAATAGTAGGTATTCTGTTAGTATAATGCTTGTACATAAAATTAAAAACAATGAGATGACATTTAAAACCTATGTCAAATTGACAAAAAGGAAGGCGAAATCTGCGTTTATATAAATAATTCGATTACAGCGTATCAAAATTATAGATAATTATTAATTGCAAAGATTTTAGAGCTACAACTGTAGCTTACGGCTTGGTAACGGGCTGGCTTTAATTTGATCAGCAGATAAATGGCGCAAACAATTTAATCTTAGGGTTTTAAAGCTTTTCATTTAGCTTTATTTCCAAGTTTGTACCACCAAGTTTCCATTGCTACTTTTTGCTACGAGGCACGCGATCTATTTACCACGGTATAAAGTAATACGTATGTCACATTGGTTTATTACGTTCAATTGTATATACAGCTTATATAACGAAATGTATGACTAAGTAAACACACTGTCAGCGTTTAAAAATCCTCTGACGTTTAATTAACTCTTAACCTACGTGTGTTACACAAACAATAGTGCCATTTAAGAACTCTATTTTACCCTCTGCATTTTACTTAAAATCGAGAAATAGACTTTACAATCCGCGTTCCACAAATGGAAATGCAAATCGAATTGCAATGTGTCAAGCAAGCACTTTTCCAAGATATTCTGCGAATTTCATGAACAGCTTTGACATATTGTGTACGTATACTTATTTATATCTACCTATACTTATCTCACTCTTATATGTATAAGTTTTTGACGTGACAACGTCTTATAATTCGATGGAGCCGGCTGCACGCACGAAAAAACATGACTCATGCGGCGTTACCTCGCTCTGAGGCGTTACCTCGCTCTGAGGCGTTACCTCTCTCTGAGGCGTTACCTCGCTCTGAGGCGTTACATTTAAAATTGACATAATTGTATTTATGCGTACAAATAAATGTAACTTGATCAATTCAATTGTGATTTCCATTTACCTCCTTCTCTATATCCATACAAAATACCTATCAAACAAATAAAATTTAATATTTTTTTTTGAAAAATGCAACCATCCCATCAATATTTTTGTATGACGTTGTCACGTTCAACTATCGTCAGTAAACCGACTTTACAGACAACCGATTTTTTATAAGTACGACGATAACAATCATAGCATTTTAGGGCGAGGGGTTTGCGAGTGGCGATGTCGCGAGACTGAGCACCACTAGGGACTTGCCAGGCCTGCTAAAGTCGTGGTATTGGTAGGTTCACATATAATGTCTGTGCTGGTGGGAATGTACGCCTTTAAGCCCTATTCAAAATTTGAAGACGGCTGTTTTCATTTATTAATAATACCTAATAAAGCCCGTTTAATTAATGAATTTTACAAATCTTGAATTGTTATCCTGCCTCCAGTACCATTGATCGGAACCCCTTCTCGAGTAAAAGCCTCCTCCAGTTTTTTCGAATTATCTCAATGAAATCTAAATTACATTAGCAAGGCCATATTAAATATAAACAGCGTTACAGTACAAAGGCAACTTTTATACCAATGTTTGTGGCATGTGAATGCAGACCTCACAAAGCATTGTAGAGTAATTCTAGTAAACTCCGCATTTAAATAAACGCTTTATATTTTAATGCGTGGCTGTAATTCATTAATGTGACCTTTGTCGTATTTAATTATTAAACAGATTTATGTATCAATAAAATATATTTTCAAAAATATTGTAATGTTATAGTAGTGGAAAATTGCGTTAGTACTTTCTTTTAAGGTTTGATACTCTTGGTTTTTCCAGGTAATACAAAATTTGATGTAAAATGCGGGGCTTAACTATTTAGAGAGACAGCTAGGAGAATATAAAATAAACTGTAATAAGTCACTGTTTTCACAGCTAAGCTCCTAATAACAGCTACTTTGTATAATTGATACCCTTTCCAATCACTCGATAATTGGGTAACATTGGAATTCTCTAACCTATACCAATAATTGTAACTTTAATGCAACTTCATTTTAATATAGTGACTTGCGATGAAAGTATAATGAATTATATATGAATAATCGAAAGCCTATTACAAATAATCGAAGAAATCTGAGTTAGGGCAACAATAACTTTCTTTTGTTAAGACATAAGTACATCGTTATTTCATTGTCTGCTTGCTTTGAATGCAACAAATAAAAACTTTCAACATAGCTTAATTTCAACATGTACTAGAAAAAGAGAAGTACTCGTATTGAGAAAAGTTCATGACACACGGCGCAGTAACAGCTTATAAACTATAAAGCTTGTCACTGCTGACAAACAAATATGTATAAATTGCTAACAAAAGGAAAAATCTGAAACAGTTTAATAGAACAATGAATAGTCCTCGTGTTGAAATGAACTTTTAAACTGAGGGTATGCGCGCTCGAGTTTTAAATTGTAGACAATATGTTACAAGCGTAACAAATTTTATACAATACAAGTTTAGTGAACAAATCCGTTTTAATTGTTTCACATATACGCGAGTTTTTCACGATTGATCAAAGAAATTCCTGAAATATTTTTGGAATGAGATATTAATGCTTATTGGTAATTATGGTTTTTAAGCTATTGCATAGATTTTATCGCGGGCCTTGAGCGTGGAGACCGAATCAAGAAATTCCGTAACGAAAATAACCTAACACACGATGACGTAACGTGACGTCTCACATCAGGTGCAGCCGGTACGCGTTAGAGACAGACTACATAGGCGTGTTAGTCTGAGTCTGGTAGAGTGGTAGATTATGGAATGAATATCAAAGAAAAAACTTGAATTAATATCAAAGAATAAAAATACTGCATAAAAAATGCTATGCAATAGCTTTACCGCGGCAGTCCCCGAGTGCCACATGTTTTTTTTTCTTTAACTTATATACTGATAATAGGTAACATATTTTAATGGTTACGTTAACAAGCCGTAATGGGGGTAGGAGATGTTAAATGAAGAAATATACAAAATTATAAACGCGAATTAGCACACGTGCTTAAAAGCGTCATAATGAAGTACATATAATCATCGCATAATAATAATCACCTTTATCCATAACAGAACAAACTAACAATCGCCTTTTTTGAAGTCCATTGAAAAGGATTTTGAACACTATTTACGATACGTGAGTATGAATTGAATATCAAAAATCTCGAACAAAAACCAGTTCAAAGCAGAAATCATACGAAATATTGTATTTTAAACAACAAAAACCCGCGCAGAGACTATTGTGAACACACGACTAGGCAAAAGTAAAAAAAAAACAATCAAAAGCGGATAAATGAAATATAGCTTCTTTATATATCTATTACGTAATACTTATATAGTATATATTCTAAAGATGTTAAGCTTCAAATAATAGCCTTGAATACAATGGTTAATTTAAATCCGGACAAATACTCGTAATACCCATAGACGTTCTTCCGTCTTCGGAAGACTGCGCGGTGAATACTAAGACGTATCGAATTGCTCCTAGATTCCTGTTACTGAAATATAATAATATGATGAGCGGAATATAATTGGCTATTATGAATATAAAGCGTAACTTTCCTCTGTTTTGAACAGTTTCAATATAATGAAACTCGAAGGCTGGAGCTATTCGAGTAGTATTATTATATTTAATACTACAAACGAGGAATGTTTTCAAGGAATTATTAATTGGAAAACAGATACATTTAGTTTTTATTTAGCAATTATTTTAGCTACAAAAAGTTAGGGTAGTAAAAAATCATATTAAGGCGAAACGATGTTCGCGGGACAGCTAGTTAAATAAAGTCATTATAATTTTTTTACTGGAAATAAAAATGGATAGCGATTTTATTTCAATAGAAACAATTATCTTATTTTTAACTTTATTTTATGTATTTCATATTACGAAGTAAGTCCTTACAGTCTGCGTGCTAAATTTTGTTTTGTGTATCTAAAATTCATTAAAGAATAAATCAAACTAAGTGGCCACTGTAAACCAGTCAGGACTTACAGTTGGCCTACTATCTACTGAAAGTCTTGTGGTGTGCAACCAAAGTGTACTCCATGAACTCGGTTTCTTTGCATGTGTGAGTGATATGTGCGAGTGCGACGGTGGAGGCCAAGGATTTTTGTCAAAGGCCAGCACCAGTCTGTTGCATAGATCCAGACCCGTTAACAAAGACGTTGAATGTTGTCTCCTACATATCGAAAGATTTATATGTTCGCAGAGTGACTTCAAAGTAGCGATATTGATGTATATATGGTGTGTTTGATATTATATACTTTACTAGCAAACTCAGCCAAGCGTTGCTGTGGCTAAGTATTTTGTTATATTACATAGTAGTAAACTATTCAAGGGAAACGGTAGAAAAACACCAGTCATGGCGAACGGCCATGCTTTTTTGATAATGTATGTATTTCTGTATATGAATAAATAAATTCTTAAGCTCCTATACAATTAGCGACTGTACGGAGTGTAAAACGCAAACGCACTATAAACGACTGAAATTTTATATTTGTCAAAATAATTGTGATTTATATGTATAAAAGGAATCAATGAACCGAATCCAGAAACCCGGTGCTTTGGGTAAAAGATGGAAAGGCTAAGAAAGTATAAGTACTAGATTAAGTTTGACTTTAGCATTAAGCTAAAAGCTCGCTACAAAACGAACAAAAGATGTACTTTTGCTATTTTATACTCTTTTTCCGACATCTGACGTCGTATTTCAACATAAAACCATTTGCTAATAGGTATTAAATTCGGCTCTTTTTACCTATTACTATTGGTCTACCTTTTAATTTTTTTTGTTACAGGTTTAAAAAAAAATTGTTTAATTTTAGAACGAAGTGATATCGAATCACTAAACTAAATTTGGAGAATGCTCATAATTGTACATGAACGTAACATTATGACGAAGATATATTTATCTGCATTTTCATTTATTCATTCATACAGGCAAGTCGATTGATGTCACAGCTTATAGCTTTGAGCAGTCTTGGCCTAGTGTCGTAGGTTCGATCCCCGACTTTGTTGACTGTTCTGTCAGAGACAATTAGTTTAATATCGTATATGTAAGGCTTCATAAAACGAGACTTTTTTGTGAAATCATTTGTTTTTTACTCCAACCATATATGATTTAATTTAATTTTCTTATGTTTTTTACTTTTTTAAAGATATAAGGCTTTATAAAACGAGACTTTTTTGTGAAATCATTTGTTTTTTACTTCAACCATATATGATTTAATTTAATTTACTTATGTTTTTTACTTTTTTAAAGATATAAGACTTTATAAAACGAGACTTTTTTGTGAAATCGTTTGTTTTTTACTTCAACCATATATGATTTAATTTAATTTTCTTATGTTTTTTACTTTTTTTAAAGATATAAGACTTTATAAAACGAGACTTTTTTGTGAAATAGTTTGTTTTTTACTCCAACAATATATGATTTAATTTAATTTTCTAATGTTTTTTACTTATTTAAAGATATAAGGCTTTATAAAACGAGACTTTTTTGTGAAATAGTTTGTTTTTTACTCGAACCATATATGATTTAATTAAATTTTCTTATGTTTTTTACTTTTTTAAAGATATAAATAAGGCTTTATAAAACGAGACTTTTTTGTGAAATAGTTTGTTTTTTACTCCAACCATATATGCTTTAATTTAATTTTCTTATGTTTTTTACTTTTTTAAAGATATAAATAAGGCTTTATAAAACGAGACTTTTTTGTGAAATAGTTTGTTTTTTACTCCAACTAAATATGCTTTAATTTAATTTTCTTATGTTTTTTACTTTTTTATTACTTGTACCAAAAGTGGGTTCGATAGTTATTTTCATAATATATTATATGTTTTATTTTATAGCAGTGTTAGCCTAGTGGCTTCAGCGTGCGACTCTCATTCCTAATAGAGTTCGATACCTGGCTGTGCACCAATGGACTTTCTGTCTATGTACATTAACATTTGCTCGAAAGGTGAAGGAAAACATAGTGAGGAAACTAGCATGCCTTAGACCCAAAAAGTCGACGGCGTGTGTCAGGCACAGGAGGCTGATCACCTACTTGCCTATAGACAAATGATACAGAAACAGAAATCTGAACCCCAGACCTAAAAATTTTTTAGCGCCACTAATTTATTTATTTTTAATCTAAAAGCTCAGTGCAACGGGCCTTATCGCCTATAAGCGATGTATTCTACACAGAGAAGATAAAAATATGACGAAAGTTAAAAAAAATGAAAAATTAGATAAGTTTATAAAAAGTACGCTAATTAAACTGAAATTCAGCTTAATTAAGTTGAACTAACGTTATTTATAATTTTATTAAATAATTAATAATAATTTTATTTAATATATTAAAAATTAATAAATTTCCGTCGCTTGATATTTTGTTTAGTAAGGATTACGCCCTATTATTTAGACCACTATGGTATTCCTAATAGAACGTCTCTGTAATTTTAATTTCACAATTAGAAATTGTAATATAACTCGACGTTTCGAAGTAACGTCGATTCGATTAATGTGATAAATTAACGCACTAAAAAAATATTGTAAAATATAGCAATTGCGTGAAAAATAAGTTATAATAGGTTTTCAAAAAATTTAACCAACTTCCAAATGCACTAAAAAGCTTTAAATATCAATATATCTTAATCGTTTTAATTAATCATGTCTTTGAGAAATTATTACGTATTAAACGATAATTATTTTATTTTATACGGGTTACGCGGTAATTTTTTAGAAATCAAACTGAACATACACAAAATTAAGATGCGCGTTCAATATTCTCGTTCTTCGGGTTTTTTAATTAAAAAGAATTTATTATTGCTACAATCGTTAATCTATTAGCTTTCGCATTTATTAATAAAATAAAAGTTGTAAAATTAATTTTAGTAAAGCATTTCATGATTTTCTGGAACCAAATTAATTTAATAAAATTTGAATTTGTTGTCCATTTTTAAAAAAATTTAAGAACACTTGTGTCTTTGAGAAATTATTACGTATTAAACGATAATTATTTTATTTTATACGGGTTACGCGGTAATTTTTTTAGAAATCAAACTGAACATACACAAAATTAAGATGCGCGTTCAATATTCTCGTTCTTCGGGTTTTTTTAATTAAAAAGAATTTATTATTGCTACAATCGTTAATCTATTAGCTTTCGCATTTATTAATAAAATAAAAGTTGTAAAATTAATTTTAGTAAAGCTATACATTTCATGATTTTCTGGAACCAAATTAATTTAATAAAATTTGAATTTGTTGTCCATTTTTAAAAAAATTTAAGAACACTTTACGACTGTTTGTCCACAAATAAGTTGAACAAACATTTTAAATATAATACCTGGTAATTCAAATATTATTTTTCAATCAACACATCCAAGGCGAGCAAGGGCTAATGTTTACATTACTTAAGTAAATCTCGAAACGACATGAACACCAAACATTAATCGTGACACCGATACAGGAGCAATACCGGTTTTCGCAATGCATTCGAATTCGCAGTTCTAAATTTAAAACGCGCCAAGAAACTTTTCAAAAGTTTACTTACAAAGTGTGGGCCTCTTGCGGTGTCTTAGGAATCGCTTGTAGACCCTGGTGCAGGCATCGTACCGCGTTTCGGTCACATTGGCAGCGTTGCGGGCATTCCGAAAGGGATAACAGGAATATGTTGAACAGGAGTAGGTACTTGAGGATAGTAGGAGGCCTCATAGTGAGGCGAGAGGAGACCGCCGCGTCCGAACCGTTGCAAGCGAATGATGCTGCGAGTGAGCTTCAGCCGCGACTTCCACGGACTGACCGTAGGGTTACCACATGCATTGATTTCAGTTCGCGTAAAATTATGACAACGTTATTTAAAAAATGAAGCAATAATGTATCATGTTTTTATTAATTTCTTATGAAAATTAAACCCTATTCATAAAAAATACATAAGTCTGATTATGTACACAATTTGACGGAAACGAACGAACCTTAGTTAAATGAGTGTAATCAGATTGATTTGGATTTTATGAATAATTGGATAATTAGATTATTTTTAATAAATAAAAAAATAAAGCAAATTTAAAAAGTTTGGAACATTTAACGCTGGCAGCATTTTCTTGCACTATTGCGATACATATTTATTGTAATGTAATAATATCCAGCGTATAATATATGTTGCAAAGAACAAAACAAATACGTCTTAAGAAAAGAACGTATTTTTGATAGGGTTTTCTTACATTTCGAGTACCAATGGGCAGTAGTTCACTTAAAATTATAATTTATTTATAGGCAAAAATTTTCACTTATCCACATTAACATACAGATATATAATTTAATTTACATATAGACTTTCTAAATCAATTTTTAAACGAAAACGTAAATTTTACACGTATTTTATGTTATGGGAAATAAATATAAATAATTAAGTTAAACCTAACAAAATCACGTAAAATAACGAAAATTATTCCCGCTAAGTTATCATAAACTTATTTAATAACGTTGTTTGAACTCCCAATTAATCGGTTTATTTTACGAGATGGTAACACCGAGTACCGTAGCAACATTTAATACCACCATATATACAATTTAATTTTATTCAAAGAAATGGAGAATTTCGTAAAATTTCTGATGAATTATTTTTTATCGGATTACTTAAATTATACTTTACCTAATAATGGTTGTGATAGGACGTTGAATATTTAATACTTTAAAGAATTAAAGGTATCTCTAGTAATATTTTCACTATATGGCTATATACTTTAGATAGTTTGCGTTGATTTTTTTTTATAAAACTGGGGACAAACGTGCTGGAGACTCAACTGATGTTAAGTCAAATCGCGGACACACAGCTAGAGACCACGAGTGCGTTTCTGGGTTTATAAATATCTCTGCAAGCGAGTAAAAAGCTTGATACGTGATTAAAGAATCATACTTTATGGATTTTGCTGTTTGTGGGATTCCAAGCGGCGTCGTTCTACAAAATTCATTCAAAAGTCCAATAGGTGGCCTGAAAATTTCGAAGGCTAACATAGAAATATCTTTTTTGATAGAATTTGATTTGATTTTTAATATAGCCTTCGAGAGCGATATAACGATTATAGCGGTCATACAATTTTTCTATATCATTTTTTATAGTTCGATTTGTCTTAAGCCTTAAAATAGACTTCGGTTTCGACGATTACTTGACTGGATTATTGACTCTTCATTAGTGCAAAATGCATGTGCAGCGAGCATTGTCTTGAGGTCTGAAAACCGGAAAAAGTCGCTGGTGGTTGCTCAAATCTGGAGAATACAGTGGTATAAATTCGGATTTATTACGATTGAACAGCTCCGAGAACTCACTTTGACCATTACAACCTCTTTAGGTCTGGGCCTCAGATTTCTGAATCTGTTTCATGATCATCGACATCGCCAGTCGGTCGCCAAGTAGCCAGAGTCGACCGCTCCGCAGGCGACGTCGACAATTGTTTGCACGTGTTTGTAGCATACAATACCGTCACTCACTCAGTTGCCAACCAGTTGCCGAATTAGCACACCTTAGCACTTTTTTTGCTATCCCGAAAGAAATTGCTAATTAGGCTCCTGCTCTCCTAATTATTAATATTTTACATAAAAAATGATTTTAAAATTTGGTTTAAAACGTTTAAATAAAATAATAATAATATTTTTTTTTTTATAACACTTATGTTTACTTTAATTGTCATATATTTTAGATTGAAGATTTTGTTAAATATGTAGATTTAGTACTTTGATGTAGTAACGTTAATAAATAAATTGATAATTTTATTTTTGTTTTTGATTTTAGTTTCGAGACAGAACTGAATTTCGACGCGATTTGGCGACAGTCTGGCGACGCAGGGATGCCAGACGTAGCCATGGTAACGTCACTGGCCACGTCGCCATGGCATCTCGGTGAGGTTATGACCCTTACACGAAATTCCTTATTATCCGTTTTATAAACAAAAATACTGCATTCACTCAAAATACTGAATCTCACAAACTAATACGACAGTTGTCAAATGTATACCCGTGTCTTATGAATGTTTTGGATAACAAAAAATCATATTAATTTAATACTAGTAGATTTTTTTTTAAATATTAATTTAATCTATGTGTCAGCCTACGAACTTTTCAGCCCACCTAAATAATGCATCTATTCCATTTATGGTACAGGTAACCCCAGCTCCGAGTATATTATTAATGGCAACTAGAAGGAGTATTCGTGTAAATTCAATTTGAGTCGCTAATAGTTAACTAAAACTAGTTAGTTTTCAGTTTTTAATTATAGCCATTTAAAACAATATTGTAATAAATCTTTAAATTTTAGAAACTATACTGTCCGTTCTATAAAAAAAATAGTGATAATACTACTTTTATTTATTAAAGGGTGAAATCATAGAGTACTATAGACAAGTGTATTATAGACAAGCATCTTCTGTTCTCCACGGTTCGATTTTTTAGTCGAACATAATTCATTCATTTATTATGTTTTCTTCAATGGACAATGATGTACATAGAAAAAAATCTATTGTTGTGTAAAGGAATGAAGGAGCTGCTATTTCTTCCTAAACGAAGAATCTACCAGTCTAAACTGAAGACTCCCTTTAAGGTCTAGATGTTATTATATATCAACGGTCAGAATAACTTCGTTTGCGTGTTTCATGGTATGATTCATCGCTGTGCAGGTGTCGTTACAGGTGCACTCGGTCGTTTAAAAACTCTTATACATAATTAATATCCAATATTCCATTTCAATTCAATTTTATTCTTTTATAATTGATATGTTACTGTAAAAGCTCGAACTGCAGTAAATCCTAAGATATTCCAGTAAAACCTAAGATCTACCAATTCTATGGTAAATGTCCCAAAAGGTTTGCGATTCGAACTCTTACCACCATTCCGTTGGTAAATCTTAGGATTAAAATTTACCAAAAAATTTAGGAAAAATATGTTAATTTTTGTTATTATTATTATTTTTTTTTTTTAATTTATATAATGCTACAAATGTAATTATTTTTTTTGTATCTCACACACTGTTTTGTTGTGTTTTTTTAATATTTTTATTACTCTTTAATGTTAATATTCTAAGGTTTCGATATTTGTAAATATGTGAGGAACATGTATACTAACTTTTTTAGTATAGTAGTTTATTCTAAGAGTACATTGTCTTCACATATAATTATTTAACAAATGTAACAAAATATTGTAAACCTATTTTAAAAGAGTAAGTGTGGAGTTTCTTGCCCATTCTTCTCCACACGAAACTACCTTTTGGAAGGGGCAACTAGAATCATCTTTATATTTTTTTTTTTGACGTTCAAAAGTGCCATTTTAGATGGTCTAATTGAAATAAACGATTTGACTTTGACTTTGACTTTGATTTACATTAATGGCACGGTAAATGTTGAAAAATAAAACATGTCATAAGCTTATGTAAGCATTATGTTTGTATTTCGTTGTTAAATTCCAAATAGAGAACTACTGATTCAGTTAGATAGATATGATAGAGATTGAGATATTCAGAGATATACGTTATGTGTTTTTTTTTTTCAAAATAATTTAAATAAGTTGGTATTAGTATGTAAGTTAAGAATTACTCATTGTTTTATTCCTAAAACCAACATCAACCAGCTGACATTGGTAAAACCTAGCATATACTGAATTCGAATGGTAAAAGCTCGAAAAAATAGTCGTATTTTCAAAAATACTTACATTTACCAACTCATGTCGGTAAATCCTAAGACTTACACTTAAATCTTAAGATTAACCGTAGTTCGAGCTTTTACAGTAACAGATATATTTTATGTACAATTTTGATTTAGTAAGAAAACCTGTTAGACAATTTAATTACTACGTAAACTCTTTATAACGAATTTTGAGGCACCTAGCATTTTTTTTCGTTATAGAGAGTTTATTTATAGGGAGGGATGAGAAAAAAAACAAAATTTAACCAATTCAATAGTTTCTAATGTTATTACTATCAATAGGTAAATTATTCTTAACACATATAATACATAATGCTTTTCTTTTACTGGACATCTTGACAGTTTCAAAGTTTGTTTAAAACTGATAATACACGATAGGTGACGGTGGTGCGTTTAGTAACTGAGACCAAAATTTCCTACAGGCAATGCAAAGGCGAGACGGCTGTTTATGACATCAGATGTCTTTCTTAGAAATTTCGGCACCTCAAAAGGTTAGTTTTGTTGTTGGTTATAAAAACAATTATACTTAAGTATGTTGTTGATGTCTAAATATGACAATATTTCTTCGTTATAGTGAATGGCTGTTTTGTTATAAATGGTGAATTAATGTATGGGTATAACGAATGACGTTATAAAGAGTTTACCCTGTATATACTTAGTGTGACTAGTCGCGTTTTGTTTCCCTTATGTCAAATCCAATACATTTTTGACATTTAGAAGTCCTACTTAGTAATCCCAACTCCTAATATTTCCCTTAGTGTCATTCATAAGAGCCAGTATGAATAAAGAAATATTTATTTATGTTTAAAGTCAAATGAATTAGGGGCCTCATAGCCTAGCGGTCTTATTAAGTGGCAGCTAGGTGAGGGGTACCGGGTTCGATTCCCGGTTCGAGGGCAAGTTTTAATTTAATTTAAATTTGTTCTCGGCCTTTGGGAGGGTTTTGCGGTACCGGGCGAGTGCTTAAACCGTACATGGAGGTCACAGTCGAATTTAAGCAAGCATGAATTATAAAAAATCTTA